CACCTCCTGGATGCTCTGAAGAATAGCAGCACTGAAGACAGGATCCTGCTGAAAAAAATGCTTTTCTAGAAAACTCCTGTAAGGGTGGTAACCTTATAAGACCTACGGGAACTAACTACGAAATCTCAGCCCCCTCTGCCCTTGGAAAATGAAAGCACTGGCATGGAAATCTTCCTTTCTCCATCAGGAGAAGGAAACTTTTCCACCTGATAAGAGGTTCACCTGGCATGGAAGCACAGTGGGTAATGCAACTCTACAGAGAAAGCTATACCAGGGAGTGCTGGCTTGGCTGAGAGCCCTTGAGATATCTTCAGACAGCTCAGCTCCTACACAGAGACCTCTCAATGGCATAACATGCAATTCAGCTTACTGGCTTATATGACTTGGTCAAGCACATTGATGCAGCCACCTTTTTAATTTTTTTTCTTTTTTACAATTAAAATGAAAGAATATTCAGGCCGTCTCCTGTGAAGAGCTAAAATAGACGCAGCCTATTTTTGTACCATTTTACAAAAAGTCTCTAGAGTGTGATGCATTTGCAACATATCAACACTGCAATCTCTATTATTTCTAATTTTATAGTTTTAGAACTTCTATTTGAACTGTTCACTTAAAAATATTGCCAAGTGAGCCATTCTGAGTCATTTCTTTAAAATGTATAGCAACACTGGAGAAACTTCACATGTACATTAGTGGGGAAGAGCTCTTCACCCGCGAATTCCCTTTAGTAGTATTCAGTTCTCCCCCCAACCAAAACCTAAATTTCTGTTGTAGAAATTCCCAACATCTTACAGAGTCAGACACCTGGAGACACAGCTGACAGTCCACACCATGTGACACTATGCATCTGAACCTCTAAAAAAAGCGTGTGGAGCCCCAACCAGGATTTGAAGTCAGCATGACTAGTAGGATATGTTCAGCAAGACTAAAGCTAACTTTTAAAAGAAGGCTGAAATTTTCAGCAACACTGGGATATCTTCCTACCATCTTCCCTATTCTGAATTTTTTAAGACCCCCTACAGCTCTGTCCAGTCCCAAAGGGGTTGCAAAAGCTCCATGTGTCCTACTCATACCAGGATCAGCTTTCACCCTACTTGCAGTCTCAGTATTCAGCATACTATAACTTTGCTTTTTAGCCATTTCTTCCCACTGGTTCCCCTCAGAAAATTTGCTGAGGAATTTTCTCCTTGTGAACTTCTTGCTGCAAGGTGATTTTTTTTCAATTAATCAAAATATCAACTAGAAAAAAAGACTGAAAAGAAGGTGATGTCAACAGATGATACCTGAAATCATGGTCAGTGCTGTAGCTCTTGAAGGTAAGAAATGCAGACACCAAAATGGTATGCATATTAGGGTATGGGTATGGGTATGGGGTCCATTCTTCTGGTGCTCTCTGTGAGCCATTACAAAACATAATTGTGGGTGGAGGGCACAGGGGAAGATATCTTCCAAAATTTCTTTGAGAGAAAATATTGTGTAGAAAACTGTTAAAAATTTTTAATTTAGACTACAAATGTTATCAGTTTCAGTTATAGGAAGTTCATCTCCCTTGTTTCCCTCTAAATGAGGAACCAAAGGGAGCTGCTGACATTCCAGATTATTGATCTCTCCAAATATAACTTAATCCTAATACAATCCACAGAGCATCTTGTTAAAATAGACGTGTTCAGATGTGGTTCAAACTTGCTGCTTGAATTTGATGCGAGTGAAGGCCTTCTGTAGACGGGCTCATGGCACTGTGAACCTTCAACCAGGTCCTGATTTTCCCAAAACCCAACATTTCTGCAGCAGTTTCAAGAAAATCCATATGTAGCATTTTTAGTGGTACAAAACACAGCAATAAGTAGTCAAATTCATCAGTACTTTTCATTTTAAGAATAATGATTAAAGGACAGACTCAGTGTTGCTGTGTTTCCCAGTGGTTATTTTTTCTCAGTTTGAGATGACCCATTTGCAATGGGCCAGTGAATACTGTACTTCATGCATGTTTATGACATATCTTTCACACAAAGTCTCCAAACACCTCAGAAACATTAATAAATTAAGCTGCAAGAGCAATAATAATTGCAGCTTCACATTCACAGAACCTAAGTCTCAAAGTCTTCCTGAGTACCTGTGGCAGATCTAAAAATGAAATTCAGTCTTCCAATCACTTTGAACGACACTTTACTACTAGATCATGCAATCACACGGTCTAATTCAGGTTGGAAGGGACCTCAGGAGACTACCTCGTCCATCCGCCTCCTCAAAGCAGGGCTAACTGCTGCTCTACACCACGTTGCTCATGGCTTCATCCAGCCAAGGCTTGAATACCCCCACGGAGGGAGGATGCACCACCGCTCTGGACAACCTCTTCCAGCATCTGGCCACCTGCGTGGGGAAGATTTTTTCCCCTTGTCCCCAGTCAGCATCTCCCCTCGTGCAACCTGTGGCCATTGCTCTTGCCCTGGTGCTGAGCTCCTCGGAGAAGAGCCTGGCTCTGCCACCCACCCTCAGGCTCCCCTCAGGCAGCAAAGCCTCCATCAAGGCTCAACTCAGCCGTCTCTTCTCCAGCATGACCAAACCCCGCTCCTCAGCCTCTCCTCCTGCGCCGTGACCACCTTGGTGGCCCTTCCTGGGCTCCCTCCCATTGCTCTCTCTCTCTCTCTTGTCCTGGGGCCCACAGCTGGGCACAGCTCCCCCTCGCCGGGAGACCCTCAAAAGCCAAGTGGAGGGGAGGGACCCCTCTCCTGGACCTGCCGGCTGCACCTGTGCCAGCACAGCCCGGGAGGTGGTCGGCCACCTTCACTGCGAGGCTGCAGCGCTGACCTCGTCCAGCTTGCCGTAAAACAGCACCCAGGGCCTTTTTGGCAGAGGTGCCCCCGGGGAGTCACACCCCCAGCCTGTGCTGGTGCGGGGGGTTACCCCAGCCTGGTGCTGGGACTTCGTGTTTACTTTTGTTGGACTTTATTACATTTCTGTCAAGTCGTTCCTCCAACCGTAAAGCCCCATCCGAGGAGCAGCTCTGCCCTCCAGCATATCAGCTGTACCCTGGCGTGTCCTGTCTGGTTACATGGACCATCTTATTTAGATAGACCCGAACTTCATCCTCCCCTACTGTGGCTGCTACCTCCCTCTCCCAAGTTTTGCTCCTAGGAGATGACCTTGGAGGCCTGAGAGCAGACTCGGACAGTAAGGCTTCATGGAGCAGTGGGTCCACGCTTTCCCTGGTTTTCCTTCCCATTTTTGCTGCTGATGCACTCATAGTAGCCATTCTTGTTGTCCTGCTCTCCCCTCACCAGTTCAGATTCCAGCCAAACTTTGGCCTTCCTCGTTCTGCCCCTACGTGCCCTGACCACACTCCCGTGTTGCTCTTTGGTAGCCTGTCCCCACTTCTAACTCCTGTCTGCTTCCTTTTTGCATTTAACCTCAGTCAGGGGCTCATCTGTCGTCTCAAGTTCCTATTACAGATTTTCCCCCTGATTTCTTTGAAATATTTCACCCAGTGGCATAACTCCCCTTCACTTCAACAGAGCTAGAATTTTACCACACTTTAGAAATTACTACTATCAACTTTGTCATCTTGATCAGCAAATTTTGTTTTGCTGTCATCCTCTATTACAAATAGATGCTTCAGCTATAAATTATTTGTTTGATATAATTAAGCTGCACCTAAAAATACTACAGTTTAATACCCAATTGCGTCTTGCATCATCTTACAGCAGCAGCCTCCCAGATATGACCTAAAAAATACTAATTCACTGTGACAGCAGGTATGATCTTAGCCTTCCACACAGAATTTTAGCAACTGGAAAATGTTTTCCAACTGTCTTCAGCAGTACGTGTCAGCGTTCAGCAATGCTATTTTCACTTTTCAGATCTACAATAGATACATGCAAACTTTGTAAACTTTTTTCTTTCCAACATACATGTAAAGAGCAGAAGATTAAAGAGGGCACTATCCAAGAGAGTCCTTCTGGAAAGCATTAACCCCCCAAGAAAAAGAAAAGAATAAAATTCGTCCACATTTTTGAGATGACACGGGAAAATTTTCAAGCCTATTTTCATAACTTCCTGGACAACACATTCATACTGAAACCCTAAACACTGTTTGCTGTAGTTGAAGCACTGTAACATGGATAGGAAAAACTGACAAATATGAAAATTATATGATGGCAAACTTACATTCCTGTTGAGAAATAGCTTTCACTAGGAAACATTTACACCAGTTTCTCATAATTATTGTTTAAGATGGTGGACTGGGCAGTGTTAGGTTTATGGTTGGACTCAATCTTAAAGGTCTTTTCCAACCTAAATGATTCTATGATTCTGAGATGTGAAACATTTTAAAATTGTTATCTTCATATATTTAAAAATTTTGCTTACAAACAAAACTGAATGCATGCTAGATCATTCTCTCTTTTTTCACAATCCAATGTCAGTGAAAACTTGGCACTGGTACTTGACACATCTACATCTATCTCCCGCTCTGCTCTCCAGCCCTGCTTTCTTGCAGCTCCTTCAATCTGAACTGCCCTCCAAACCCTGGTACACTCGTGTTCTAACTTCTCCTTCCTTCAGAAACACCCCTAACAGCGCTTCTTCCAAATGCTGTTTTCCACACAATCTGAAGATACTTTTGTTTCAACAACAAACCCCCCACCTGGTGATTCCAATAAAACTCTTTCTTTCCTGCTTGTCTTCGTACAGACCATTTCCTCCCCTTCCCTAAGAAATATCCAGCAATAATAATAGTATCTCCCACTCTTCTGTGATGAGAGCTTACAGCCAGCTCCATATTCCTTCAGAACTCCCTCCCCACTTACTCACACGGGATCTCTTTCAGTTCTGGGTAAGCAGATTTTCCCAACGCCTTCACAAAGCCTATCACTGTTACACTATTTTGTTTATCTTAAGATTTATCTTTGTCTCTCTGGTTGTCACTTCCCCAAGGCAAAGGCAATGTCTTTCCACAAGTTCTCTTTAGCACTGATTATATCACACAGATAATTTAAAATTACCTTTCTGTTCAGAGCCACGCCATCTTCACAGTCCAGCACCGCACAATCTACATTTAGTGACGGGATTTTTCGTATCTTCTTTTCATCATCTGCAGGTACATACAGCACAGCTCGCCTGGGAACGTACTTGTGAGATGATGCAAGGCGGTAACTAAGCTTAGGAACACCAGCTGGCAGAGGAGAATCCACCCTGTAAAGGATATTGTTGAAATTAGACTCTTGGCTACAATGCTGTAAAGAATAATTGACTATATGTTAAAAGAGGAATGTTTCTACCTAGATAGTGCCTGATTTGGGGTTATTTGTGGTTTTTTTTTTCCTTAGGAAGACTCAGGGTAGGGAGAGATCAGTATTACAATTAATTACAGTATGAAAGTCCAAAACAACTATGTTCAACAGAAGTTGCAAACTCAAATACTCAGAACTGAAGAACTGCCACGGCTGAGGTTATCCATTCAGCCTTAATTATGCTGCCCATTCTGTGCGCTACAGCAAGTATTAAATACAGAAGGGGGGGGCGGGTTGGTTTTTCCCCTGTCATATGACTCCTCCATAGACTGGAGGTTGTGCTGGGAATGGATCAGGACTGCTTTAGAGAGGGGGCTGCTATCTGCCACGTTTGCTCCAGGAGCTGGATGGCATGCTGTGAATGAAGCTGGGGTGTTGGTTAAAACAAACATGAGTTTGTGCCGTTGATTTTGCAACCTTAGCGTTATATCAACAGACGTATTTGCATGCAAATTTTAAATAAGCAAAATGGATGGAGGGGGGAAACAAGGAAAACAGGAACGAAAACCCCACGTAATGTGGAACTTCACTAATCCCAACATGTCCTCTCAGAAGCCTCCAGACCTTCAGATCCACAGCATAGACTTCCAATCACAACTCATAAACCCACCAGCATCATCAGCAGGTTGTCTGCTGCGGTGCCTTTTAAAATTCATAAATGCTTTGTGCATGCTTCTCAGTGGCTTGAGTGGGTGGCATCCGTACGTCCCGTAGGCGTCGGGTTTGTGGTGGTCTCCACCCCGTGCTGGTGATCGCGGTGAGGGACCAGCTAACCCACCCTGAGCGCAAGCTGGGTTGGTGCACTTGGAGGCAGTGGGGCTGCTGAGGGAGGCTGCCCTTGAGCGCGGTAGGGAGCTTGCTTTGCTCCATTATTACAAGCACAGAGAAATAAATTGCAGAGGGTGCCACTGTGTTTCATGGCCTTCCAAAAAAACCCCCTTGCCTGCTCCTGTTCCTCCCCATTTCACGCTGTACCCCCGAGCCCTATTCTGCTACATCAAAAATGAGGACAAAATAATACAATTTGCCTTCATACTCAGAGCACAAGTCACTTATGCCACAAAATAATCCTACCATATAACACCATTATGCATTATCATGTATATTATTCAGCACTTTGAATAAAGGAAAGCTTTTCTAGCACCATGCTGAACATGTCATTATCGCATCATGTCAGGGACCCATGCATTTTCCTATGCCCTTCATAATAATGCTTCCCAAGTTGCTGCACTTGGATGACACACAGCTACACGTGCATGTGGGTTTTCTTCAAAGTGAACATGACTAACACTCACAAACACTTGGAAATGAGTTCAGTGAATCAAAATCAGAACTGATGTGGTGTGTCACTGACAGACCACTAAGATACTTGCCTTTCTAAGCTAACCCCGTTGAAGAACCCTCTCTTCCCCTCAAGTGTGCACCCTAAAAGTGGAATATAAGCCTTGGGTTAAAAATATGAAGAAAGCTTCTATCACATTTTATCTCAGTAAAATAAATCAAAAAGGACAACTATTTCACCATCTCCTCTGCTGTGTCTCCACATGTTCTGGGTGGACCCACTTTATGAGCCCACAAAACCCCGCGCTGCCAGACTCTTCTTTGTAATATGCCTGGTAATGCTTAATTCAGCCTAAGAAATGAGGCAGTTTTGCTGTTAAACAGAAACAACACCCCTTTTTCTTACAAGTGCCAGTGCTACCCTTGTTAATAAATCTTTATCTCTAACAGCAACAGCTTCAAGACTTAGGTGGTGGAGGTCCTGATGACACCTGGAGACATGCAACTGAGATCCACTGAGTCTCTCCTAAGTACCCTCTTTGCCCCTCTCTCATGAACCACTTCATGTCCCCCGCCTCGTGTTGAAGTGGGGATGGTAACACAACTTGTGGCAACTCAAGTGGCTGCTGGTTAAATCCACTTAATCCCATTTTCTTGCAGTAGTGCACTTTGGGAGAGCAAGGAGGAGGTGGAAGAGTGGTTTATCTCAAATGGAAAGAGGAGGGTCTTTTTTCAGTGTGACACAGAGGTCAGTAAAGAAGTCTGCAGTCCTTCACTAAACATATATGAGGGGACAAAAGTGATTAGTTTCTATTCTCTTTCTCTGATGGCTTCAACCCCGTAGTTCCCAAAGGCACAAAGGAGTCAAAGAGCTCAGCCCATTAATAGTTAACTCCAGCCTAGAGCCAAGCAGTCCCTGAAGCACCCTTAATGACTGTTTCTCACCAACCCTCCAACTGGCCAGAAACCTGATAGACGCAGCTAACGCCATAATCTCAGAGCACTCTGAGATGAGGTGCATCTCCTGTCACACAGGTTTCCTAGGATTTCTTCTGGGCTGTCATCGAACCAAGGGCTGTTGGACCAGCCGGTTTCCCTCTCGCTGCTGCAAGGACCACAAAGGTGGCTCTGCTCTGCATACCACGCACAACGGCGTGTAGTATTGTGTAGGTAAAGGCGTCGTTACCCCCAGACCAGGTTTAGTCAGGTGTCACCATTGAGGTCTACGAACATTTGTTTAGATGGGGGAGCAGTATGGCTTCCCCATCAGACTGCCTGACTCCGAAGAAATGGTAGATTTTATCCATTAAAATATCATCACCTAACAGGCTTAATGTTAGAAATACTTTCGCCCAGTGGCTATTGGTATCTCCTCCTCAGCTAATCATGGCCACATGGTCACATGGGCCCAAAACACAGGTTTCTCAGGACACAGATTATTATAAAAATATACTGTCAATGTGTCAAATTATTAGTCTTATGGAACATTTTAGCAAGTTGAAGAAGCAATAATTTTTTCAAGAGGTATGGCCAGAAAAAAAAAATGTATGGGAGGAACCAGTGTCAGTGGACCAACACAGCATTCTTCTCCTTTCAAAACAAAGAGCTCTAGAAATGCACATGTAAAATAAGAGTTTTCAACAAGTACGCTTAGGCGTGACTGCAGTAAATGTTTTCATATGCTATTATTTTGACATATATTCTTAAAAAATCATCATCTGTTCTCACCGTGCATTTTCCTTGCATAGTCATATTTTATGTTCCACAATAAAATGAAACATAGAGGAAGAAGCAGATTTGTTAAGAAATCCATCTGCCTATAGTCTTTTTTAAAACAGTGGCAAGGCCCAGGGTGCTATGCATATGAGCAGTTAGCTACTCTGGAAGGAAACACTATCCTGATTATCTCAACTTCTGTTATTTTGATAGAATAAAAACATCCCCAGCAGTTACTTTTTTAGGACAAAAAACCCACACAGCACTGCAATCTCAGAGGAAGAAAATCTTACATATGTTTCCTGACTGCAAGTATTTTAATGATTCAAACTAAGCTTGACTATGCTTTAAACTAAACACATGGACACAATCCAAGTGAATTTGCTAAGACAATGTTTCTTCCTTTAAGCACTGTAAGTTAAAACAAGGACTAGGCTATTGGGTAATGCTCATTAAATTGTTTTACAGCAGCATATTTTCATTCATAGCATCTAGCAGCACGCTGAATGCTCTTGGGTCTTGGAAATGAAACTAAATTTCTTCAGCAAACATAACACTCTACTAAAGTCTTCATCAAATATGTAAAGGTAGCTGGCAAGTTAAAGTTACTTGTGATCCTCTGAGAACCATTTCACCCAAGAGCAAATAGTTCATCCTCAGGAAGGAGAAAACAAAACCTTTCTGATTACTAAGAGACATTGCACTTCGCAATGGCAGCCATACAGTATGACTGCAACCAGTGAAATGACCCCAAATTATACACACTTCCCTGCTGTAAACTGCATTTTCACATTCCAGCGTTGCTCATACTCACACATATACTTAACTGCAGACACCTGTGCAGTTCTCATCGGAGCCAACAACCTATAGCTCACAAAATAAAGTACTCCCACAAGTGATTTTCAGGATCAGCACTTTAACCCGTGCCTCTGTTCCCTGTTTATTTGCTAGATCAAATCAGCCCTGGAAGAGACACTACACCATGATCTGCCTAATGCATGGAAAAATACCCGTTGCTCTATAGGTCAAATCTCTCCTTCTACAATCTTTGGCACAGTGTTGGCAAAGTGTTTCCGAGGACCATTTTTAGGCATTTGACTAAAACGATTAAAAAAGCTGGATAATTTCCACAATGCATATTTCTGACCTGTATGCACATAACTGCATACCAACCACAGTCCCGGATATCTGCGGTGCTGCGGCAGAACGACAGAAGTGACCCAAGACCTAAGACCCCACTGAACACGACCCAGCTAATGCAGCAAAATCTCCTACAAATTATTTACCCGATGTGTGCAAAAAAACCCCCAGAGTAAACATAATGGTTTTCCTATGTCAAATTTACTAGGGAGTAGCTTACAATCATACACAAATAATCTACCAAAGACAAAGGAAACTTCTACGAAATTACAAAGCCCTGCAATTTGCATAGTAATTCTTTCTAATTAAGAAAAGGAGATATAAGTTGTTTGTTATAAACATCAGCAGGCCCTGTGCAAATACGAAGGGCTCACAGCCGAGCTGAGTATTTGTCAAATCAAAGCGACTCGCCGGAGAGTTTTATTGGTACAGCTGCGGCGCATGCATTTTATCACACATGCTAATAATCCTGGTTATGGCACTAACATTTTAATCATTTGTACTGTGGGCTTGTTTCTCAAACAATTAGCACTAATGAATGGCCAAAATACCTCGGATCATATATGTCTAATTGCAGTCAAGAGCGGTTATTGTCCGCATGTACATTTCAATTCACCTCTGGGGATAATGTTTGTTAATTGTATTTCTTTATATAGCAAGTGAAAAAAGGCTGTTCACTCAAAAAGGGACTAAGTGTTCTCTTCTTTCCCTTTGTTCCCACAAGAAGCTAAAGTCACTTCAAGAGGCACTTAATCCCATCATCCA